TATGACAAATTATTTGTCAGCATTTAGTTGACATGTGACACTATATTGTACGTTTGGTGCGTAGGTACAGCATGTGCAGGTATACAAGGGTTGTCCTCTGCCTGGCTTTTATTTGACAATTGTGTAAAGCATTTGGTATGAGATGGAATAATTTTGGGAATAAAAACTATGCCCGCAACATATAAAATGAAATAAGTTCTTGGATCATAAAACCAAATTCAGCCATAACATCGCCAGAACATAACAATTTTCCTAGAAAATTAGTCTTCATGGTAAAGGGCAATTCGAAATTTGTATTTATAAAAGTACTAAAATATAACCTTGAAATTTTGAATGAAGGCAGGAACATTGAGATTTCCGATAAGCGTTGAAGAAGTAGTAAAAGCTGTAAGAGGTATTACCATATTATTGAACAATTCGTAAGACCTACAAATTTTAAAAGCTGCATGAGGTTTTATAGGCTTTGCATCATTGTTATTGAATCCTCGATAAGGGATATAGGTAAGCAATTTTGAGCAAGTGTCCTTTTTGCGTGTTATTTTCGAAAGTCAAAGTATTGAAATATATCATTATTATAGAAATTTGCAAAACGGGCTGAAATAAGGTAGGATAAGATGCTACCATTCCTATTGATTCGGTTCAGATCCCATGTAACGTACTCTTTTTCGATATTTTAAGGGTTCCAGACACAATTTTCGGATTAACTCAATGTTATCATTTTTTATGTTTGTACCGGAAAATACAGTAAAACACCTGCTGTTTTAATATTTAGATTTTTCTCATAATCTCCCATTGACATATTACAATATTTACAAAAAGACTCACATCTGTTAAGTAAAAGCAACCATTGCACAGTGGTCGCTGCCATTGGCCAAAATTCAAAAAATGAAAATCAGATATTTATTGTCAAATGTGTACATATGAACTCTTAAGAGGTTAAGCTTTTTAGAAAACATAATAATCTTGACTTCATTCTAACGGTACACTTCGAAATTAGCATCAAAAAAGAGAAAATGTAGTTAGTTGCTTTTTTCAGTGGGATCAGTAAAAAAAGATTAAAAATAGATCTGTATTACAAAAATAAATACATTTTAAAATGACAGTTATTGGCATAATTATTGAAAAGCAAGGTATTGACTTATTTTTAGTGCAGTAATTTGTGTGTTTAGTAGTTGTGTATAATATAGATGATGTGAGTGTTCTGAGTGGCCTTTAAGATTAATTTTGAAAATAAAATTGGATTTCAGTTAAAGTTTTAATTGTTTTCCCCCCTGAATCCTCCAATGTGATTTTTTTCACGCCATTAGTAATGGTCCTAAGATTCTAGAAGTGCTAATTTAACTTTCAGATTTTGTCAGATTTGTATGTTATGCCCAATATACTGAAGTGACTTCGCTCCAATTTTGTCAGTTCTATGGTGCTAGTAACATAGGATATTTTATTGTTGTTTGGGATTGATAAGGATATAATTGAGGGGTGTTTAATAATGTTGCCTGCATTGTCTTCTGGGTATAATATTAATGTCGAAAAAATTAAGGACTCTGCACATGAACGGCTAAAGAGTTAACAAATAGATATCCATGGCACTATCTTCCACCCGCAGCTAATAAAATGTTAATACATGCACCCGACATTATAAATTTGTCATTGTATCGATTGGAGAATTATAGGAGGTGGCCGTGGAGTCTAGAAACAAAGATATAAAAAGTTTCGACTAAATCATACCCGAAAAAATTCTCGTGTTTCAACAAACACAGATCTTATTAACCGTCTTCTTCTGAGCTCTGACCCTTTTATAACAGGACAGCGAACGTTACCAATCAATAAAATCTGCATTTGATTTACTTGAATAACACTGAAATTTATAAATATCCATTAGTAACTTTGATTTTATATTGAGTTGTTTATTTTGTTTACAGAAAAATTCTCTATTTTGTTTACAACAAAAATAATCAAATTTGGAATTGATTTGTATAAAAAATACCTCTATTTTTGAAGGTACCTTTACAGGGGGACTCTACCTAAAGGCGGGCCGTTCGAAATAATTTTCAGTAAGACTATTTTTTAGCTCTTTAGAATGTAAAATGTCAAATAACAGAACAATCTAGTGTAGAAATGTGACAAAAATTGGGCAAATAACCCTTATTCGGGAGGTACGTTTTAAGGCGACCATGCCAAACATGCATCGACCATATCCATTTTGTCACATTTTTTATTTTTATCCCATCAAGGTACCATAACCAAAGAATCATATTGATATCTGCACTGAAAGTATTTTTGGCCGCTGTTCCCATACGACGTCGACCACTGTGCATTGGGTTGCTCGAATATCAACATTGATTTTTAAATAGTATATGTACACAAAACGTCAAAGAAAATTTCACAAATGTCTGATTGAGATGAAACTTTCCATAAGTCATTTGTTTGGCCCAAGAACGAAACCTATTAAAATTAGCGATAATCTTACCAGATTTAAATATAGCTCCCATAGTGTCGTCTGATTTCAAAAATATTGTGTATGTCCGAATGAAATGAATTTTAGCGAAATTGTCCAAGTTCAGTCCAGAAGAATATTTGGCAATTTTGGTGAATATCGGTTCAGATTAAAATGCAACTCCCATATACAGGATGAGATTAAAAACTGCAACCAAATTCAGAATACTTTCATTTCCAAGCCACTCGACCGACAGCTGTTAAAATTATTTCAGTGACAGCTCATTATATTGTTTACAGGCGTACAAAAGCATTTTTGGTGAGAATTTTCCAGAAAAAAAGTTATTCGTCATGGTATTCAAGCGTGATAGTGTGATTTCTATATACTCGGCTAGAAAACCACAAGTGGCTGTCGTAGCATTTAAATGTGAATAAATCTCTTGTGTCCCTTACCATCACTCGTTTCCGTGATACTAGTAGCTTAGCCCGACGTCAAGGAAGTGGACGGAAGAAAACAGCAACATCAGCAGAAATGGTTCGAAAAGCAAAGAAGCGACTTGATCGAAAATCGCGTCGCAGTGGCCTAAAAATGGCTCGTGAGCTGAACGTATCGCAATATTCCATTCGGCAAATATTAAAAAATTAGCTCGGGGTAAAACCATTGAAATTTCATAAAGTACAAGAACTTACACCGCAACAGAAAGAAAATAGACTCAAAAGAGCTAAAGATTTGCTTTGCTTGCCCCAAAGTGGTGAACTACTGAATTTGGTTTTCTCCGATGAGAAAATATTCGTTGTCCAGAAGTTTGTAAACAAACAAAATGATCGTGTTTACTTGCCAAAGAGGGAAGCTGAAGCCAGAACTCAAGCGCCGGCCTTGGAGATGGTGTGGGCCGCCATAACAGGCGATGGTCGCTCTCCGGTCGTATTAATCGACCGTGGCTTCAGAATAAATGCCGAATATTAGCGCGAAAATTTTCAACACGCCCCGGCCGAGAATGGTTACAAAATGAGGTTCCTTGCTTCAGTTCCAGCGAACAATAGCCACCAAAATCTCCGGATACCAATCCGTTGGACTATTGTTTCTGAAGTATTTGGAAACAAGGTTGGCACTAAAGACTACCAAAGTGTCGATCACCTCAAGCAACCGCTTCGCCGGGAATGAGCCAAAATGCCGCAGGGCATAATTCGGGCAGCGTGTGATGGTTTCATTGGCATTTCAAAGCCATAATTCGAGCCAAAGGTGACCAATTCGAGCAAATCTAAACTTATTCTAAAATTTGATGCTATTTCTGAAATTTTTTCATATTTGGTACCAGATACAGCTCAGAAGAGACCTCTGCCAAATTTTACTGATATCGGTTCAGATGTAGATTATACTTCATTCATCTGATTGGACGGTTATTGTGCACCAAATATGTGATGTCAGTCAAAATTAGATGGACTTTTGCAAATTCAATTGAATTTATCTTGGAAGTAAATACTGCATTTGGTAAAACTCGATTCCCATATATCTTTGACTCCGATATATATTTTAAATATAATCCTTTTCCAAGTCAAATTATAAACTCTATAGTAATTTTGTTTGGTAAAAGGGGTACAATTGCCACTGTCTGTTAAGTAGAAATCGCTTCAGAGGCAATCCCATATTTTAAATGTGCATTGTGGTGTAGGGTATAATAAAGCCCGCCCCTCCCGACTTTTGACCTCTCTACACTGGTTTTTAAATCCTTATAGTACGTATTTTCTGGTACGATTTGCCGAAGATATGTGCGAGACATATTAACAGCATAAATATGAAAATACAGGAAGGCTATCGAAGCTTTACATTCATAGAGAAATATAACCTCTCCTGGCTGAAGAAGACATAGTGGTCTTATGTAAATAGGAGCTTTGAAAAGTTATATCTATCGAAGGCATTTATTGACTAGAAGACAAGTAAATAAAACACCAATAGAATAATTTTACATTTACTGAAATAAAAGCAATTTCTTGGAAAAAAGTGAATTCTTTTCGAGATCGATATCTACCGATGCAAAGAGTTATTAAATATATCCTATAGAGATACTCAATAATAAAGATATTCTCAATAATTTATTTATTGTTCTTCAAAAAAGGATTCAACCCTAACGTTCATGTTAAGGCATATGTGAATCTTCCTGTTGTCGCAATTCATCCATATGTATGTAAATTCCCTTTCACTCTGGCAAGGGAGTGAGGTTGAAGTGCAAAAAAGTTTTCCCCTTTTACGTACGTTTATTTCCATAAAGGAGATGTTTATAATATTCAAGATGACACTGAAATACTTTCTATATATACGGAATTTTACAAATTTTAAAATTGTTGCCATAAGTTAATTTATATGTAAATAAAAACAAATTCAACTATTGTCTCTTATATTCACTTAGGTGAGCATAAATGTCCCCCATATGTGAGTGAGTGCGTGTGTGTTGGTGAACGAACGTTGATATCTGCCCAACATACCAAAATACAATACAGCTTGAGAATAATATTATGAAAATAGTTTATCATAAGAATTTTTCAACAATGCTTGAGAAACACTTTTTTGCACAAACTTTTCTCAAATCTGTCCTTTGTTGACAAATTTGTTTTGATTTTTCTTTTTGAAAATTGTCAACAAAAATTATTTTCTTTGGTTAAAATCAAAATCACGCGAATTTAGGACCCATTTCCGGACGAAACTCTAAGGTAATGATGAATAATAAATCTGGGAATCTGTAGTATAAATTATTTCAATCTCATTTCAGAATGGAGGCGTCAAAAAGTTGCAGGAATTCAACAGAAGTGAAGAATAAGTGGAGGAGATACAGAAGCTCAAATAAGGGGAAAGAAAGCATCTAGGTATCAAGGCAAGAGGATGCAGTGACAGCTGGGATGGCAATCAATGAATGAAATGTGTAAAATAATTAAAAAAATGAATAAATAAATATTTTTTACCATTGAAAAAATAAGCTTTTTAAAATATTACTTTCGTAAGCTTATTCTGCAATTACAAGAATAAGCTTATGAATAAGGGTTCCTTTTCGATTATTCTATAATTGTTAAACAAACATTTCTCAATACATTCTCAAGATTTTCTCAAGCTTTAGGCTTATGTTTGTAAGCTTATTAAAATATTACCCAACATACCAAATTGACTTGAGAATAATATTTTAATAAGCTTACAAACATAAGCCTAAAGCTTGAGAAAATCTTGAGAATGTATTGAGAAATGTTTGTTTAACAATTATAGAATAATCGAAAAGGAACCCTTATTCATAAGCTTATTCTTGTAATTGCAGAATAAGCTTACGAAAGTAATATTTTATAAAGCTTATTTTTTCAATGGTAAAAAATATTTATTTATTCATTTTTTTAATTATTTTACACATTTCATTCATTGATTGCCATCCCAGCTGTCACTGCATCCTGTTTCCTTGATACCTAGATGCTTTCTTTCCCCTTATTTGAGCTTCTGTATCTCCTCCACTTATTCTTCACTTCTGTTGAATTCCTGCAACTTTTTGACGCCTCCATTCTGAAATGAGATTTAAATAATTTATACTACAGATTCCCAGATTTATTATTCATCATTACCTTAGAGTTTCGTCCGGAAATGGGTCCTAAATTCGCGTGATTTTGATTTTAACCAAAGAAAATAATTTTTGTTGACAATTTTCACAAAAAAAAATCAAAACAAATTTGTCAACAAAGGACAGATTTGAGAAAAGTTTGTGCAAAAAAGTGTTTCTCAAGCATTGTTGAAAAATTCTTATGATAAACTATTTTCATAATATTATTCTCAAGCTGTATTGTATTTTTGGTATGTTGGGTATTCTCAAGTCAATTTGGTATGTTGGGTGTGTTCCATCACATAACTATGTATGTGTGTGTGTGCCTGTGTGGGACATTAGCATAAACTCAGTAGTCTACATGTTTTTAAGGTTAGATATTTGACTAATTTCCTTTTGGTTTTTCTGGTTCTCTGTTGTTTGTGGTTTCGTTTTGTCATCTAATAGAACTGTCTCAAACCAGGACAGGTAATGGATATTTGAATTCCAGGAATATTTGGATAAATTTGAAATAGTTATTCAAATATACGGTGCGATGATTTAATCAAAAAGAGGGTTGTGCTTGAGAACTTTGCATGTTGTAGAAACATTAAAAAATATATAATGTTACAAATTGAGATGTGTATATATTAAAGGGAGATATTTCAGTCTCCTATAAACACAAAGGTCAAAATTATCATAGAAAAAAAAATTACCTCATGGAATAAAAAAGGATCATCCGATATGGTTCAAACTCAGCAAATTCTAATATTTTTTTATCAGGTATGAAAAGAGAATATATCAGTACACTCCATCAGTTATCTTCGTCGCAATAGGGTCCACTTTTTGAACACAAACACAAGACGATAAGATACGACAGACCACTCCTACTGGTATCTGCTCTTATAAAATACGAATAAACATCGGTTTCTTTTCAATCTAAACACATCCTAAATTTTTAATAATTATTGCTCTCATAACCTGCAAAATAAGCCATGTATTTATTTAGACTTAGTATATCTTAATATTTTTCACCTACTTGAGGTTCAATGTGAATTTGGGAAATATCGTTCCACTCCTTCTGTTACCTCACTAGGGTCATAATCTTAAATAGAATGCAAAATAAATCACCGATATTTCTTTTAACTTTGAACAATGCTGTACATCCACCAATATCAGTATGCCCCAAAAAGTTATACATTAGTAAATTGCCAAATTCGGAGGGCATATATCTACCGGCAAACAGACAGATACTTTTTAACTTGTTCAAAATTTCAATATGCTTGCTTTTTGTTGAGTTTCTGAAATCTATCTATATATATAAAAGAAAGTTGTGTTAGTTACTACGCTTATAACTTACGAACCGCTGGACTGATTTAAACGATTCATACAAATACGGAATTGTCTCCTGTCCGAAAAGGATAATATCCAAAAAAATCGTGTAAAAATGTGATATATTAACATTTTCATTTTGACTTTTGAAATGTACAATAGTAATGTTTTATTTTGCATGATTTTTTTCCATTTTAACTTACTTTTTTTCTAATGTACATTTGTAGTGTTTTTTATATTTTATTTTTGAATTCGAATATTAATATAAATTTATTTAATTGACTTGATTTCTTGACATGGAAGTGGGTTACATGGAAGCGTAGTACCGAATTATGTGTTGGCGAAACGGAATAGATGATATCGAAATAATTTAACGCGGTCACACCTAAGATAAAATATATATCATTGCAAAAATTCTCAAAGCGGGAAAACGAACGAAAAAAAATTTCAATGGAATCGAATTTTAAAATAATAGTATTCTATTGACTAACTTTGTAAGGATCTTTAAAAATTTGCTCTAAAAAATCAGCGAACAAGTTGAAGATTTTTTCCATTTGTTATTCTTCTTTTCAAGTCCAGGGCCTACATCGTGGTTCAGCTGGAAGCTGCGAATACATTTAAACAAACAAAAATGACCTAAAAGCCTAATTTGGCTCATTTCAAAGCGTGGACCTACTTCTTTCATGTGAAAATAATCCGTCCAATGAGAGCTCAAAATGCAAAATTCTTTGGGAGTACAATCAGTAAAATACCAAATATAAAGGGTGCAAAATAGTAGAGCGAATGGGACTTTTAGTAAGAAAAGGATTTCTATCCTTCCCAAACATTCAAGATACTTTAAATCGCTTTTGCAGGTCATCATATTGATCATAATTCACGGATAAGGGTACAACCCGATTTTATATTTATACTAGCTGGCCCGGTCCGCGTTGCCGGCCCGTAGTTTTTGTCTATTATGCATATTTTCCCAAGCATAATTATTCACTGATATGACTGATATAAGTGTTCACGTACTGGTCGATTAAAAGTGTTTTGAAATACCTGTGCCTATATTTAAGCCGTGGGCTTTCATATTTAAACCGAGGGCTTCAAATGTGTGGATGTACAAATCTATTAACAAGTATATATTAATCGTATCCCCATGTAAGGGATTAAATTAATTTTTAGTATGGTAAAAATCGTAGCAAATTTTCCAGTCAAATGAGCAATAATTGGAAATTACTGTATTTTCTACACCTCATAACTGAGGGCCGAATGATTTAAGAATAGCCAAAGTTAATTACTTTTTTAAACCCAGTAACACCTTACATTGTGCATTAGAGTCCTCATAAGTCCCACTAACCATGTCTGTCTGTTTGTCCACCAAAAGGTGAACTTGAGGGGGTACTATTACATGGAGAAAATTCTAAAATTTTGTAGATATCTTGAAATGTTTGTGTAAGATTTTCACCCCGCAAATACACATTTTTAGCCAAATCCTTAGAAATATGGTAAAATCAGGAGGTACCTTTATATGGGCACTACTCCGACCTACATTGAAAACTTTCTAGAGGCCAAATTAAAAATATAGCGGAACAGCATAGCATGTCAAACTGAAAAATTCGAGTGATTTAAATAAGTAAAAATAGTTTTATCCACCTCATAAATGAGGACAGAATGATTTCAGAATAGTCAAATATAATTACTATTTTACACCCATTACCGTAAGATGGGAATTAATTTTATTTGCCATTTAAATTGTAAGTTGGAGACCCCATAAAGACCATATTTTTCATCATAGTATAATTCAGTGACGACTCAACAAATATTTGGTCCCGTGCTACTTTCTTATATTTGTAATTTGTTCATGTTTTCACAAATTATTTCATATAGATCTACATCCCAAATATACGTTCCTAACCAATATTCTCCTGGGGGTCACAAATTCAATAGAATACAATATTTTCTTTTCTGACCACACATTAGATGTGAAAGTGGACTTGGGGATACTCCAATATGGGGACTTTACTTAAATAAACTCCTATGTGGCACTCTGTATGATGGTTCCCCACCCCAGGGTAGCATAAATACAATTTTTTAGCCAAATCAATTGATGAATGTGGTCAAGACAAATATTGACCTTATTCTGAAAATTTCAAATTTTATGCGAAGAGGTTCTCTACCCCTTAGAAACAAAGATGCCAAATAAGGGCCAAACAAAGAAAAAAGTGGCCAAGACCGCAAAAATATCTTAAATCATACGGAGGTTATATAAATATGGGTTAAATAGGGTTGTACCCTTATCCGAGAATTATGATCGATATCATGACCTGCAAAAGCGATTTAAGGTATCTTGAATGTTTGGAAAGGATAGAAATACTTTTCTTACTAAAAGTCCCATTCGCTCTACTATTTTGCACCCTTTATATTTGGTATTTTACTGATTGCACTCCCAAAGAATTTTGCATTTTGAGCTCTCATTGGACGGATTATTGTCACATGAAAGAAGTAGGTCCAGGCTTTGAAATGAGCCCCATTAGGTTTTTTTTCGGTCATTTTTGTTTGTTTAAATGTGTTCGCATCTTCCAGCTGAAAAACGGTGTTGGCCCTGGAGTTGAAAGGTAGATGTCAGTTTACATAGTATTTCGCACTTATTTAATTTTTTGGTAAAAATTATATAGATTGAAAAATTATTCTTTATTTTGTTCACAAAAAATTCCATTGAATTCAATAAGATAATACAAATTGAAAAAATCTTCAACTTGTTCGCTGATTTTTTACAGCAAATGTTTAAAGATCCTTGTAAAGATTGTCAATAGAATGTACTATTATTTTTAAATTCGATTCCAATGATTTTTTTTTAGATTTTTTTCCGATTTGAGAATTTTTGCAATGAGATCTCTTTTTTGTGATTTTTTAGCGATTTTGAAAAAGTAATTATCTTTAACTTTGGTGTGACCGCGTTCAATTATTTCGATATTCCATTTCGCCACCACATAATTCGGCACTACACTTCCATGTAACCCGCCATCAATATCAGTTCTCAAGAAATCAAGTCAATTAATTCAAAATAAAAATTCAAAAATAAAATATAAAAAACACTACAAATG